AACGCGTGCACCATTGAACCAAAATCTTGGGAAAACATGTCATTTTAATGGAACCAGGTTAATTCCTGCTTATGTTTGTAATTCTTGATTGATTGAGTCAGCTGTGTATGTTTTGTTTTGAAAAAAGCCCACATCTCATTTCATGGGTTTGCATGAATCATCATGGAATAAAGCGGGGTACATAAAAACGCACATATTTACCACGTTTAACAAACAGGAAGATGGAGGTTCCAGTTATTCCTCACTTTGAATGTAAATGTGCATCACAGGATGGTCATCAGGGTGTTGCATGGAGGCGGTAGCCATGGTAACTTTGATTTTTAGTGCGCTATAGGACATCTCATCCCTGCTAACCTAAAAGTGAAGCTTAACTGTTAACTCTGGACAATACAGAGGTTTGTGGTTGAGTCACGCCATGGCAGCCAAGAAGTTTCAGTTACCAAGTCTGCTTGTTTCCTTCGATACTATACAGGGAGGCAATCCAAGTTAGATTACCAATCGGGGTCTTGATAGGTCACACAATCTGGCTCTCTTTCTTTTTCAAGGCTATCGGTTTACTATTAATAAACTAGCCTTTTTTTTAACCAGGCAAATCCCATTTAGATCACAGATTTATTTTTCAAATAAAGCCTGGCAGCCTAAACATGTATATTTTGAGACTGTCTCAAGAAACCAGCATATCTGGGGCAAACCCCCACAAGCATGAGGAGAACAGGCAAACTCCACACAGAAAGCCCCAAGGCCAAATCCAGAGCTTGAACACAGGGCCTTCTTGCTGTGAGGCAACAGTCCTAACCACTAACACATCATGCAACCAAACTACTGGCTGGTTTACATCCACTGTTAGCTTTTAGGTTTCCACTTTATAAGGGATGGTTCAGACCTTTTGAAGTGCGGTGAAAACGTTGGAAACTATTAATATTTTACCAGTTGTAGGTAGCTTTTTGAATACCTCACTTTGAGGGAAACAAAGAGATTTGTTCTGACTGGATTGACCAGCTAACCAATAATTTGATCAGTGTTAAAGTCAAAGTGGATTGGTGCCAGATTGAAATGGCTTCCATCCATCCATTATCTTCTATTTATTCCAAAGTCGAGTCTCTAACTCCAAGTCAAAACTGAAGTCTTTGAAATTTTCTGGATTTGCAAACAGCAACCTTTTTGTGCCGCATCAACAGAACATGACTTCCTGTAAGACTGGAAACTTTGGACCTTCAGGACTGAAATGGAACAAACACTCTCAGAGTTTTCCACGTTTGAGTAATGCCAGCACTAAGAACAGCTCCAACACCGGTTTCAGGCTGTCCTCAGGTTCACCTTGGTTCTGTTTATTTACAGTCATTATGTGCTGCGACAGTGAATTAGATGATGTTTACAAAGACCTCAGAAACACTGCAAATAATCTCCAACACAGGACAGAAAGGAAGACCCTTCAGACAATGTAATAACTTGTTTGTTGACCCAACCTAGCTCCAGTAAAACCTAATCATGATGATTATTTGTTTTATTAAATTGAATTGTTGTTTTTCTCTCGGCTCCGTTGCTCGTTCATCGCTTATCTTTTTCTTGACTTCACCGTTTCTCTCCTCCAACTCCCCGACGTTTATTCTCTCACCTCCTTGAATCCCGTCCTTTCTGTTTTTATCCTTCCATCCTACATTCCTTCGCTTCCACAAAGTGACACACTCTGGACCTCCGTCTCCTGGCCTGCAGTGGGCCTTCGCTGCGATGCGGCAGAATTGCTCACTGGCTGCTTTATCCAGTAGCACGCTCTAAAAAAAGAAGGAAAGTGTAATCGGGTGGGCAGCCTGTGTGCACTGAAGCTTCAGCTCGTCGCAGAGACTCTTAACGAGACCGGACAATATTCTTCCTAAGGAAGAAAAAAATATGTCCTTATTTTCAGGTGCCCACTTTGGTAAGCAAACTTGAACTGACCTGAGCCAAGTTGGTAAACTCTCAAAGTGAGTCTTGCTGAGGTTATTTTCTGCCTTCAAATGAACAAGTAACTGAGTAAGCAGTTTTAGTTTTGGGCGAAACTTGTTAACCTTCTAAATAAAACAGCGCTCGCATCGAGAAGCTGCAGAGGCCCACAGGATGATCCATCGGAACAAAGACATCCGGTGAAGCAGATAAAAAGGAAGAAATGTGTTTTTGCTTGAAGATTTCTTGTTTAATTTCCCTGTTTAAGTGGATGCTTTTGTTTAGGTTCACCCTTCTGTAATTTAGAAAAATCTCAGAAGTGCTTCGTCTTCTTTTAACTGTCTTTATTTGTGCAGTTTGTTATGCAGAGCGTGTGATCATTTGTTTTTAGATGCCAAATGTTAACCTGACAAATCTTACAGCATCTTCTTCAAAGAGAGATTATAGTCTCTCACACTCCCCCCCAGGCTGAACGAAGCCTCTGGTGACGAGTTAGTCTTGTCTTAAAATGGATCAAATTACTTTCAAGTCTTTGTTTTTAAAACAAAGTGGTTTCATTGTCTGCAGTAATGATATGATTGTGCCTTTGTTGTAAACGAGGATCATTTTTCCACTTCATATTTGTTTTGTCTTCCTTTAATCCCAAATGTACAGAAATGTGTTTTATTTTTATCAATTTCCCCTAAAACAAATCTTGGTGGTGTATAGGAATGTGCAATATATATGGTACATGGTAGAAACGATAGAGATTTAGCCAATGATAGAGATCTGTATTCTACCGGCTAACCGCAGTAATGCTGTGTCTGATGTAAAATCAGAGTTGTCAGATTTAATCATTACTTTTTTTGAGTTGAAAACTGCATAAATAGTTTTAAAGTCTGTTTTCTTCAAGAGCTAAGCTACAAGCTAACTACGGCTGGCTTGCCGTAGTGTTGCCGTATTCTGACACGAGACGCTGTGTTCCATCGACAGTTAAAAAAGCTTTAGAGAGTGCATTTGTGCTGGGGAAAAAAGGGTTAAACCTGCTCTCTGATCTGTAAAAGAACTGTGTTGTGTGATTTTACTGCAAGATCCTCTGGTCAAAGCCACAGAGGAAACTGGTCGCCATTTTGTGTCAGATCTCCTTAAAGCGGAAGGAGACGCCCACTGGAGGGATGACGGGTTGGAGGGTTAAGTGTTTTCAGTGTGCACTATGTAAAATGCTGCTCTGTTGATGTTCATTTATTAAGTGAGAAGACTGGAAACTGTTCAGAGAACATAAGGCTAAATCTACATTTGATATATTTTGCACTGTTTTGCACTACAAGAAAGAAGCCTAATACTCAATTAGTTTATTTAAAAGCTCTCTGGACCTAGTAGTGGAATTTTCTTGATTGAGATTATTTTGTGGTATAGCAGTTTTCAAAATAAATGCTGGCAAAAGGACACCGTATTCTTTTTTTTTTCGTTCCTATTGCAAGTTTAATACCAAAAACATATCATGATATATATCGTTACCACCACCCATCACAATACATATCGGGATATGAATTTTATGCCATATCGCACATCCCTAATGGTGTATGCACAAAATATTTTAACATTTTCGCTGACGGTGTCAGATATCTGTGTTGTTGTCGTCCTAGCCTCAGACAGGTCTGTGCTCATCTTACATCTAAGTTTTGCTGTATCAAATCCTCATGAAGTTCGACTGGAGACTTGTTAATGTCTCGGCATCAAACAATTACCCAGCACTAAACAAAAATCAAACAGGGGACCTACAGAGCAACTGATATGGGTTAATAATCAAACCTAGAACTTGGCTGCAAGTCTACAGAGCAATGCATTTTGTACCAAGTCAGTCTGGTGAAAGGAGTCATGACACTTCAGCCTCATAACTGTTCCTTTAATTAAGCGTCGGACACCTAGACTGTCGATGTGTTTCCTGCTGCTGCTTTCAGTTCAGTCAAAACTAAAATTAGGCACAGAAACATTTTTAAGCCTGCTGACTCATACATTTTGAAGTAGAGCCAATTGTGCTTGCTGGGGGATGCACCTGGCATGCCTGACCCCAGTGCCCGAGGCTCCTGTGATATTAGGCGGGCACCCATCCAGAACTCTGCTTTACGGCAATTATCATTTGCTCCTTCCTCGGTTGGAGGACTTTTTCTTCCATCTTCACAAAACAGAAAGTGTGATGGATTTGTTCTGAGTGGTGCCAGGAGTTTTTCAGCATTGTCATGTCAAATTATACTTTTAGTGAAGACCCCAAAGAACAGAAGGCTCAAATGGAAATATAACATCATGTCACAGAGTGGAGCTTACACTCACGGCTTCATCCATCCATTATCTTTACTCGGTTCTTCCTTTCTGGGTCGCGGTGGTCACTGGTGCCCATATCCAGTTATCACTGTGTGAGGGGCGGGGTACCTTGGTCAGGTCTCCAGTCTATCACAGGAACACCTGGGGACTAGGGGTTGCAGTTTTCTGGCCGATCACCGATTTCTAAAAAGTCTGACCTGCCGATTCCGATTTTGGTTGATACCGATTTTGTTTTATAAGCGACACTGTCAGGTGTTATAAGTTCACAATGCACCTTCAATTTTCCAATCATTTTATTGAAAAACAAACCCTTGAACAATATCCTAAAAGTAATACAAACTTGTTTTAACTGACTATGAGGTAGTGCGCTTGAAATATAAATGAAGTTCTGACAATTGTTGTTAAAACTAAAAAAAAATCGGTAATATCAGTTTCTCATGAAAGTATCAGCCAATTTCCCAATATTAAGGAACTCTTGACCGATTATCAGTGCACCCCTACTAGGGACAATTTAGAGTTACCAGTCAGTCTAACATACATGTTTTTGATCTGTGGGAGGAAACCAGAGTACCTGGAGAAAACCCACGCATGCACGGAGAGAACATGCAAACTCCACCCAGAACGGGATTCAATCTGGTGACCTTGTTGAGAGGCAACGTCTCTACCAACTGTGCCACAGTGTCGCTTCATGGCTTCATATCTTTGGCCATTAGCAGATGGAGGAACGTTTATCAGATCTGTATTTAAATTGATATTTTATACTTTTTATTTTGACTCAGGAGCACCAGAGATAGCGATGCGGATGATGAAGATGATGAGCGCCGGATGAGTCGCGGCTGCGCCCTCCAGTACCAGCGGGCCCAGGTCAAAGTGCTGACCCAGTTTCACACCACTTCCACAGAAGGCACCGACCAGGTCATCACCATGTTGGGACCAGACTGGCAGGTGGACGTCACAGACCTCGTCCAGGATTCCCTGAAGGTGGCTGACCCCAAGGTTGCAGAGCTGGTGGACAGGACGATTCTGGTGGGCCTGGAGATGGGATCCACTAAGCTGAAGGTAGGAGGGCAAATGGTACATCTTATTGTGAATGCAAAATCAGACCCTTGAAGACACAAAATGGAGGTTCAGTTAAAGAGTTAAAACAACAGACTTGAAGCTTGGAGACACTCGCATTTAGAAAGCCTACCTTTAACTTGTACACTTTACCAAATGGTGTTTTGATGCCCATAACATGGAGGAACATTTCTGTTATGGTGCTGCAGCTTGCCAGCATCTAAATTTTGGTCTTTTAAATATGGATTGGATAGCCCAAGGTAACTGTAATTGTAAGAACTGTCAGAAAGCATTCCCTTAATTTTAGAGAATACGATTAGGAACAGGCAATACTGGAAGTTTACAACAGATGTCAGCTGTTCGAGTTGGTTTTCAAGATGAAGATTCTTGAAGGGTCCAGAAAGTTTTGGTTTCAGTGACACTCTGCCTCATACATCGCATTTGGAGTAGAAAGTATAAAAGAAATCACAGATATTAACACGTCATATTCAGCTATCTTACATGTTAATCAGTGCTTAGTGTTGATTAGGATTATAGTCTAAGATTTTTCTTTGTTTTCCTCCTTGTTGACTGTAAGGGTTCAAGGTATATTTTGACCAGATGATATCAGATTGATGAATAGTGGACCTTAAAATCATGGGATGTTTTAATCGTCATCACTTGACATCCATTCCCAAGTAAAGGACCAGCCAAGGTTGATCAGGCCTTGGTGTATGTCCTCAAGCCAGTTGGGATTGTTTAAGAACAGACTAGAAAAGCAAGATTAGCTTTTAGGTTCGGATCCCTTTAAATTGAAGGATGACCGTACCACGATGCAAAAGATCAGTCAGAATGTAGTTGGTCTTTGTGGGGTCTTGGTGAGGTATTTTGCAGTGTATGAAGAATACAGTAAACATCCCCAATTACATGAAAGACATGATGGTTTTAAGCACACAAAATATCTGTAGTGAGTTTGTGTTGGTTTACCATTGTGGTCCTGGGTGGAGAGTGGGGGGACATGGTGGTCCTTGACAGAGCCAACATAAATCATTAGGACAGATACAAGATACAGATACAAACCCTAACCCTAACCCGACTAGCCATGTTGGCCTGCTTATGATGTGGCCATGAATGTGACAAGGCCATGGAAACAATCTTGTATAGACTCAAGGTCATAGCATGGTGCTCACGTGGTGTGATCTTCTAGCATGCGTCTTCACAAGGTATGAGAGGGTGCCAGGGCAGGCATGGTGAGGGTGCAGGAGAGAGTATCAAGAACTAGAAAAATAGCAGGAAATAAACGATTTAAGTACTAAGATGGTAGCAGCATCGTGATTGGCCTCACATTAAATTAGGTTATTAAATCTTTCATAATCCAACCATATTCTAACAGGTCAAGTTGGTGAGGGAGAGCATAGTGGGGTCATCAAGCAGTGAGAAGGGGATCCTAGGCATTTAAGTAAAATAGTTGGGGTTAGTATTAAGGGTAAGTGGAACTGTACCGGTTCTTCTGTCCCTAAAACTGAGCAGGTTATGGGATTAGACAATTGTATAAAATAGTTAATGTTAGGGTAAGTTGACAAGATGAGGTCATAGGTTGGTGGCAGTATGGTAGGAAGTGGTTAGTACAGTTGACTCAAAGCAAGAAGGTTCTGGGTTCAAGCCCCCGAGTTGGACGTAGGATCTAAGCCATCTTGACACATGATGAAACACCAAAATAAATAAATAAATAGAAATACTAACCCTCTAAATGTTGTTTCCTTAAATGAGCTAAGTTGATATTTAGATTATCCACTTAAAAGCAGTTTTCTAAACAATGTTTACATACATGAGTGAAGAAAAACGACGTCTCATTTGTGATTTTGTTCAAAATCTTTATGATGACATCGTAACTGTTGTGTTTATTGGTAACATTTACTCAAAGCGACATTGGAGCAGGTTAGACTGGATGATGCATGCGAGCAGTAAAAGTGGTTGTGAAAAAACAAACATTTTAATCAAGCTATAGAAAGTGAGACCCCCCCCCCGAATATCTGTGATAATCCCTCATTATTGAGAGACTCGCGCACAGACTGCCGGCGACTGAGGATCAAAGTTGAACCTAGAAGACAGTCGATAAGCTGTGATGGATGGTTGCAACACATAATTTGGGAGGTAATTATAGTTTTCAACCTTGTTTTCTCTTCTTTTCTTACGATCCTTGTTTGATTGCTCATTTTTCTTTTCCCTGCATACCATTTTTCCTAATCTTAGCAACTAACTTGGGGGTATTTGCTGTTGCAACTAAAATTAGGAACGATGCTATACATGACAAAGGAGCCAATTCTTCCCCTAAACATAATTTAGACAAAGAATAATTAGATTTTTCTTCCTCTTCCATATTTATAGTAAAATAAGAACATATTCTCTGTAACTGTAGGCTGCTGTTGGGCTCTTCTCCCAAGTGCACAAGCTTCCTGACCCAAAGTGCATGTAAATATACAGAGTAAAGGTTCAGAGGTATTTCTAATGGAGGCAGCACAAGGTATTACACCCAGCCTGTGATTTACCGACACTTCAGTGGTCATTTATGGGGACAGATGGAGGTAACGGTTGGTGAGAGTTTTGATCGCCATGAGAGATCACAGTTTTAGCCTGTCAGGAGGAAGAATTGTTACCTGATGGATGCATTTGATCGTGGAGAAACAGGGAGAAAAGATATGCCACTAATCCATCACTTTAAATGAGCAATAGCTCGTTTAGACTGCGTTGAAGGCTAAATAAATAATTGTGCATCAGTTTACTGACACTTGCCACCTTCTTTCAATTTTAACAAATTGCCTAAATAATGCGTCAAGGAAGATTGCATTCCTAAAATATATTTTAATCCAGAATTTTAGAGCTGGTTTGGAGAAGCAAACACTTTGCTGTTGTCCAGACATAAAGATGTGCTTATTTTAAAATATAGATTTTTAGCCGACTGTTAAAAACTGTTAAAAATACAAAATGTATTTATTTATTCTGTTTTTTTTTTCTTGGGGACAAAAGGTGCTGGAATGGTTCTGGATGTGGTAATTCTTCCTCCATCGTTTGAAAAACGTGGCTCTGAGTGACAAAAGAGCCTTTCTCAGCCTGGGACAAAGAGTCATTTTTATTATTTTACTTTGTGTAAATTTAGTTTGAGCCTCAGTGAAGACGTGATCTCTGAGCTGTCTGTCGGTGTCCATTTTTAAAACCATGTTATGATGTTTCGTCGAGGCATAACAAATCTGTGCAGAAGGAAAACTTTCAGTGTAAAAGTTGTCAGAGTTCAGGATAAATTATGTAAAACTTTGGATTTTTTTTATTATTTTGGGGGTTCATTTTGGTCTGACATATACTAATGTAACTCAAACTACTGTTGATTCTTCATTCTAGCAAAGGGAAAGCTAACCAACAAACTCTGGTGATTAAAAATGAACCTTTTTTTATTTCCTGTCGCTGAGCAAAGAGGGGCAATAGAAACACCTTCTGTCCTTCCACCTGAGAATGTTGTGAACATGATAACTTGAAAAAATAAGTGAGGCGCCAACTTCCATTTTGGTGTGCGGCTACATTTTAGCGTCAAAAAGTTTTCGTTCAAAAATTGTGTTGCCATGTCAAAATCCAAAATGGCTGCTGCCATATATATTTATATAAACCAGAGCCGGTTAATGGAAAATAAGCAACTTTCTGACTTCCGTTACGGTGTGTGGCTTCATCTAGGCATAAGGTCGCTATCAAAATTCATGCTGCCAATCAAAATCCAAGATGGCCACCACCATATATGTAAACCAGCTACTTCAATCGTTTGAGGAAACAATGTTTTCTAATTTTTATATTGCTTAAAAGTTTATTTTCCCAAATAATTAAGGTGATCCTTGGAGTGGCCGAAGACTAATCGATGGCGGCCAAGGCCACCATTGCACCATGTTCCATTTCCTCAGTTTCACAGCCCAAGTTTTCTGAGTTTAGACATTTTACTCAGAGCTGCGACTGTAGTGGAGGGAGTGGTACAGAGGTTGGAGAAGGTGGGTCTGTGATCGGAAGGTCACCAGTTTGACTCCCCAGACCAACAACATCAAAATGTGGGTGAGAAAGGGGAAGCACCCATGTCTGCCGCCACCCTCGTTTGCCTCACCCCAAGCCCTTGAGCAAGGCCCTTAACCCCCACCATCTGCTCCCCCGGGCATCCTAGATAGCAGCTCTCTGCTCCACACAGACGGCTGTGGTAGCTCGGTGGTCTGTGGTTGCGTCAGGAAGGACATCCGGTGTAAAAACAGCCAAGTCTTCATGAGTTACTTCACTGTGGCGACTCCTGAAGAAGGGAGCAGCCGAAAGAAGGAAAACAACTGAGAGCTGCAAATGTGAACTTAAAACTGCTTCTAAACACTCGAGAGTCATAAACAGACTAATAAAGTTTAGGTGTTGATCAGTGAAGCTTTTACCCGCTGGTGGCGTCAAACAGTCGGTAAAAAACCTGCAAACAGTCGTTTGTGAAGCATCTCAGATATCACTGCAAATAAACTAAATCTGGTCTCTGTGGGTTTACAGGTGGATGTCATTTCACATTAATTCAGCCGTAAGTCGGAGCTCTCAGCAGGACTTTAATTCATTATGAGGAAGTGAAGTGATCGGTGGCCAGTGACGGGAAAATAAAGCTGCAGCTGCTGTGAAACTTCACCTCCGACACCTGCAGCTCCGTCCCTGCAGGTGTTAATGAACGACTGAAAAGTGTGAAGCTGCGTTAAAATCCCCTGATGGAGAAAGTCCAATAACAAAACACCAAGAGGGAAATAAACCTGCACTCTCTGTTCCTTCAGTATGAATGAAGGATTGCAGAACTCGAGATATTTCACAGGAAACCATCGAACTGAATTAATGATTTCCTCAGAACAAACCGAATGTTTCTGTTTGTCTCGTATCAAACTGGGTCCAGTCGTCTCATCAGCTCAGGAGCACGATTAAAGGAGGACATTTTAAATAACGGATGAGCAACATTCTAAACTATATAAGTTGACTGTCAT